CATCCATGGCCCATTCTCTCTCTTGGTTAATTCAACCTACCAGCAGCATGTGACCAGATGAACACGCTCTCGTCTTAAAATACTTTCTTCCCCTGACTTCTGCGACACAAACCTCCTGTTTACCTTCCTGCTTAAGTAGCTGCTGCTTCTCAGGTTCCTTGGCTGTTTCCCTGCTGCACTCCACATCTGAACAGCGGAGCGCCAAAGGCCCAATCCTGTACAGCTTCTCTCTTCTCCTCTACTTGTGCTCCCACTGAGATCTCACCTCTCACTCTGTCTCATGGCCTTAGGTCTCATCTGCGTGCTGAAGATTCCCAAAGTCCTACTTCCAGCCCGGGCCTCTTTCCTAAACTCTTGATTTGTATATGCAGCTCTCTCTATCTCTGTTCAGATATCTAACAGGCATCTCAAAAGTCCTATTTCCAAACCCAAACTTGTGCTATCCCCTTCCTATCTGCCCCTTTCCCTCCCCCGCCACTCCCACTTAACCTGCTTTCCCGAGGTCAGGCTCATTTTCATTTCAGTAAATGAAAACTCCATCCTTTGAATTGCTCAGAACAAAAACTTTAGAGTTACTGGTTTCCTTCCAACCCCTCAGCACATCCTGTCAGCTCTACTTGTAAAACATATCCTGATCTGACCACTTCTTATCCTGTCTATGGCTACCATCGTGGTTTGAATCACCACTGTCTTTCCCTGAGACCATTGCAATAGGTTTCTAACAGTTCCTTCTGCTTTTGTGCTTGCCTGCACCCGCACCTCCCCAATCACCTACGTTCAACATGGCAGCCAGCGTTATTCTTCTACAGCGAAAGTCAGACTGTGGCACTCTTCAGTTCCAAATCTTCTGATAGCTTCCTACCTCACTCAAAGTAAAACCCGATGTTATTGCAACAGTCCTGAGGATTTCAGCTTCTTAGATTAAACGTCTGAATCATGTCTTACTCTTCCCCTGCTCATTCCCTTCAGCTGCACCGACCTACTCTTCTTCAACTGCCAGGCATACTCCTCCTCTGGTTCTTTGCTCTTTCATCTCCTTACCTGGTGCGCTCTTCCCCTACATACCCACATGGCCTGCTCCTACTCTCCCTTTGGGACTCTACTCGACTGTTACCATCGCGCTGAGGATTTACATGAATCCTCTAAAACTGCAGGGTGCCTTCTATACCCTGACATACTCCACCTGTTCTTGCCATACCTAACTGTTTACAATAGCACATATCATCGTCTGACATACTTTATATTTTTTTACTTATTAGCTTGCCTGCCTTGCCCACAAAATGTAAATTCTATGAGAACAGGACCTAAAGAGAATGTATGCTCAATACCTGTTGGATGCATGAATAAAAGGGTGAGGAAGATTTCTCATGTGTTAGAACTTCTCCTCTTACCAGTTCCTGAATCAGAGATGGCTTTTCCTTATCTTTGTCAGATTTAAACATGAGAGATAACAGGTAAGGAAAACCAAAATGAGAAAAAAAAATTGAGGAGAGCTGGAAACAGAGGCGACAAGAAAGATGAAGGAGAAGAGAGAGAGACAGCTGGTAATGCGAGAGACCGATACAGAAGGGAAAATGCAGGAAGAGAGGGAAGAACTAGGAAGAAAACTCTGGATATTCTATATGAAAAATAGCTTCACCTCAGCTGGAAAGCCTGCCACAGCCACCCCGGGGACTCCTCAGTGCCCATTCAGGCTCTCCCATCATGCCCCGCCTGGACTCCTGGGCTGCCTCAGTGACTCACTTCTGCAGAAGGGCATGACAGCGTGGGGTACGATGGTTTCTGATGGAAGGAACTACAAAGCATACTGGTAAAGCCCTTCCACTTTCTAATTAATCTGCAGCGATCTCCCAGGACAAATTACCTTATGGGGTCTGAAAATTACAGGTGGGGACAAAAGGACCGAAACCATAGCAGACATCATTACCACAGGGCACAGGGCATCCCTCCGATTCTGGTGGTTACATAGCTTAGCTTGATCCTTTGCTCACCCAAGAGTCATCCTCCTTTTAGAAATTAGAGTAAAGGTATGTATAAAAAGAGACAGACAGCAATACTACGAGTAGAAGAACCAACATAAATGGAATCCCTCCACATGCCTCATTTCTTTATTATAGAAAGGGCGTTATATTTTCCACGGGCCAGGAAGGATAAGGAAGTGAAAAACTGTAAGAGACTTGCAACTTCTCGTTAAATAAGTTTTCTGACACATGGCAACTAGTGATTAATTACTGTGTTAGAAGATAACCTTCCTATAGAGATTTGCTGGAAATACAGATGTTGTCCATGCCTGATTAGACTGTGCTTAAGGAATGCTGAGGCACACTACACTGCTGCAGTCTATTATTCTGGCCATTTTGGTATCGTTGTTATATTTATTTTATGCAGCTTCAAATTCAGTAGAATTGACGGAGCCCATTTCACAAAACCTGTCCCTACCAAAAATAAGAGCAGAAAAAAATAAGGCTATAAAGTGTGTCTATGTATGTGTATATGTATGAGAGCAAGAGAAAATGAAGGAGAAAGAAACGATGAATAGTAGGGATATTTTGTTCCTTATGTAACACTTCCTGCTGTACAAAGAAAGAACTGTGAGGGAGATGGTTCTTATAAGCCTGTAAGAAAATGACCCATGTCAGATGGCTAAAAATTTCAGGGCAAAGTAAACTTTGTCATTGTTTAAGCCTATCACGAACACCACAACAAGGCTTGTTTTGATACCTGCTCACTCATCCAGTGCACATCCTGAGCACTTACTCTGGCCCAGGCACTAAGGAAACACACAAAAGTCTCTTTTGGAGCTTTTAAATCTAGTGAGGGTATGTGTTTTGAGCCAGGGTAGGAAGGACAGAGTCATCCAAGGCTGTAGGCTCACCTTTTCACTTGCATAGCCCACTAAGAGTGAGGAGTGATAAGAGGTAGCGGTGCCTCTCCCCCATGGTCACATTTCAGCTTATACCCACTTCCTTGGACATCATTCCCAAATGCAACTGTGAAACGCGTGACCTGGTTGGCATTCAATTATTTCTTGGCAAAACACTTTGTCGGCACATGGTGACCGATGCCAACCTCAATACTGCCCAGTCAGCCTTTCATTATTCAGACGCTAGTTCTTTTTAGTACGTGTTCAGGCCCTATGCTGTCTGCCAAAAACTGTGGCAATGTACTTATTTCAGCTAAATAAAAAAATCATTTAAAAAAGGATGATTGAATTTAGGAATCTTATTCCTCAGAGAATTAGTAATGCTTTTCTGTATCCCTCAGGCCTCCATGTTCTTTACTTCCCCTTGTCAATGTTATTATGAATAGACTAATTCAATAATGAGATCATTCCCCACAAGAGGGACTAAATAAATGCAGCATTCAGTCACACCTGGTTTCCCTAATCTGAGCAAGGAAGGCTTTCCACCAAATTTAGCCTAAAATAGGGAATTTAATGAGCACACACCCAAATACACAAACAGGAAGAAAAAGACAGGGAAGAAAGAAAAAGTAGCAGAGGAACAGTGTAGTAATGGGACAAATAGAGCGACAGATTGGAAAAGAAAGGTTAAAAATGAAGACACATGGTTATAGGATTTCAAAACAAAGATTATAGCATATATGTCTTAATAACTGTCAAAGCAATATAATATTTCATCATCCCCTGAAATATCTTAAAAACATTGCTTCACATTTTCTTGAACTTCTTGAGGAATCAAAACATCAAGCAGAAAGATGTAGAAGTTCTAAGCAGTAGGCAGGAAGATTCTGGATTATTAAAAACAAATGTCTTCCTAGCCGTAAAGGTGCTTATGGAGTAACTCCCTTAGGTAAGAACAGCAATAAGGCACCAATATGTCAATCACCACATAGTCTCTGCAAAACTTTCATTTAAAGCCCCAGAGGTCTGATGACTTGAGATATAGATAGTACTGAAACCCTATGAGGAGAGAATATGATCAACTCTTACATTTGAAAATGTGTGTTAAACAGAAACATTAAAAATTGAGATCACAAAACCTATGAAAGAGAAAACGAGAGGGCTACTTAAAAGAAGAACATTAAATTACAGGAAAGGAGATGATGGTTGGTGACAAGTAACCACTCCCCCTCTAGTGAAAACAAGAGGCGATGGCTTTTTTTTCAACTCAGAAAGACAGATGAGATGAGTAAACAAATTCATGCCAAAGTACATATAACACATGTCATTCATAATGAAGGAAAAAATGGAAAAAATCTGCATGTGTACAGATTTGCAAATGATTAAATAAACAATGGTTCATTTATACTTGGAATATTCAGGCATTAAAAGGAATATTTTCAAGGACTATTAATGGCTATGAGAAAAATCATGTTTTCAAAGAATATTATTGTTATGGGAAAAATGCAATTAAGTGAATATAAAATTACATTAACACTCCCCTGTGGCCACATTTCAGCTTATACCCACTTCCCTGGACATCATTCACAAATTCAACTGTGAAACGTGTGACCCGGTTGCCATTCAATTATTTCTTGGCAAAACACTTTGTCAGTACATGGTGATAATAAAATCTCCAATTTTGAGATCTGAAATCATATGCATGCAGATGTGTGAAAACTCACATATACAACACAGCACATGCACAAAAAAACAGGAGAAAGTATATCAAATATCCTGGGCTCTAAACAAACAAAAGGTGTTTGAATACTGTTTGTATTGTTTTTGTATTTCATGTTACATATTTTAAGCAACAATCATATATTACTTTTATAATCAGAAAAAAAGAGTTACCAAAGCTTTGTAGTAAAGAGAATTTAGGTTAGACAATAGGAAAAATTACCTGCCTGAGGGATGGTAAGCATCCAATAGAATTTTTTAGAATTACCTTCTCTGCGACTGAAGAAAATCCATTTGTTTTGTTTTGTTCTGTTTAACTTACTTTTAAAGTAACCAAGAATCTGTTTTTATAAATGACTTTGTAGGCAATGGAGTCTTGGTTTTGGTACAAGAAATGGAGCCCAATCTTTCCTCCTACCTTGCAAAGTCCAGGTCTGCCTCCCGTGACATGGTGATGTTGGTCAAATTCTGCTGGAGAACAAAAATGTTCCTACACATTTTCTTGATGCCAGACTCACTGATGCGCCTGAAGTACTGGGCGCCGTTAATGAGGATGCAGGAGATCAGGTGCCCCAGTCCTGAGGGGTCAGCACAGAACAGTGGGGAGAGGAGAGAAGTCAGGTTAGGGCCATCTGCCTGACCTTACACTTGAGCTTGGAAGGATTTCTCTCTTCTAACCCTCCACAAATTTAAATGACCTAAGAAAACACACTATTGATAGTTGTACCAGCTGATTTCACAATAATTTCAGAGTATTTATACATTGCCCTAATAGTTACAAATGGGAAGACTTTATGCGGTAGCAAAATGTGGTGTACCCACAGCTTCAGCCTTGCCTATACATCTAAAGCCACAGAGCCAAGAACTCAGGAAATAGGCCAGATTGTTATGAACTATTAAATGCATAGGAACTCTTGTTTTCCCATACATATATTTTGGGAGTGGAGGACACATGTAAATACAATGGTGTGTTTAGTCTCTTCTCCCTCCCACAAACAGTCTGGGTGTACTTTTGGCTGAAAGGCTGATTTAGAACCTAATAAGCAAAACAAATCAATGAGAAATTGGGCTACAGCATCTATGTTAATTCACCTCAACAGTGACAGTGTAGCTATATTTCTCAAGTAGTAACTGGCGAGAATGTAATCAGAAACAAAGTGTGAGGGAAAAGCAGATCACACATTGCTGAGTTCCCACGGGTCACTTATGGACATTCCTGGGGTCTCCTAAGTGCTTTGTTGTCATCCAAAGGACTGTCTTAGGGTCTACAACAACTGGCAAAGGGCAGCTCAGTACACAACTAGGAGGGCCCCTTCAGCTCTCCTGTGTAGTTGAGGAATGCTGGGTCAGAACAATCGGAGGCACCGGCGTGTTAGCATTTTTAAAAGTTCCCCCAGAACTCTAAAGCTAAGCTGACTGGTCACAAGTGGTCTACTATTTTTGTTATTTCTCTCTTCTAAAATCATAACCTCTCCATGGCACCTATGGTTCAGATCAGACCTCAGGCACACCTTCCGGTTCTGTGGCTCCCTCTGTCTTCAAAATGAGTTTCCTTTGATCGGGAAGAACACAGGAAGGGAGTGGAGAATGTATGCTCTCTCCTGCTTCGGCTACACTCACCCAACGGTGCTTCGAGACCACGAACACATCTATCTGTATGTGCTACTATTTGAAAGTGAAGTAAAAAGCTTTTTTATTCTACGAAAAAGAAAACACATGCGATTTTACACTTAAAGCTAGGCTGTTTATGTGAAAAATCTCTGTCGGTCAAGTTTTGGTGTGATTCTCCTGAGTCCGTAACGTCATGTATCTGCCATGGTATACGCAGCCTGCCCTAAGCGTAGGCAATGAGGATGCATTGTTTACAGAGAACAGTAAATACTAACAAATATAGTAAGTAAATAAATGCATATAGTGAATATGCATAAATATTATAATGATAAAACAAATTAAAAGTTGGTCTGTTTCATAGTATCACTACACACTGGCAATTCCAAACAGTGTCTGTGATAACATACTCCTCCCCGCCACACCAAGAAGACTGAGAGATCCTATCACTTCTCCCCCTGCCCCGCCCCTAGTAAACTCAACACCAAGCCTTTGGAATCTAGAAAGTGCTATCACAGAGATGTAGCTCGCTCTTTGAACAGGGAAGCTCAAACTTACGGTTTCTCAGTTAAAATTTGTTTTATGCAAGAGGATCATACTTGTATTTCAAGAAGATGTTGCTGCTCATCAGGATTAGATGTTAAGAAATGTCTGGGTGAATGAGAGGAAACTCTGGGGACTGCACATGTGGATACACAGGACTTGGAAGGCCACAGTCACAAGCAACGAGGAAACTGTGTAGTAAGGGACAAGTGGCTTCTCAGAGGGGCACTGTGGCCTCAGGCTCCAGAGGACTGCTGCTGTCCCTGACTTCTCGGTGTCATGGAGACCACAGCTAACCTCTTGATCACTTACACTTTGTGGCTAAAGTCTTTTAGGGATATTCCTCTGTGGAACATATCTTTACGCCATCATTTGATGGGAAAATAGGATTTTAGGGGGTCCAGATTTGCTGGCACACAACTGTTTCATAAAGCAAGCCAATGACCATGTGTTGACACGTCCTTTCCTTTCTTCATGTTGTTATCTTTTGCACAATGTACCATCTTAATTGTTTTAAATAACACTGGCTCAATTCTGTGAGAAATCATAGATACTTTTGGCATTCTGGTCTACATACAAACCAAAACAAGAGAAAAAGTAATATAATTTAATTTGAAGTCCTCAAAGGAGTTCCTATAGGAAGAACTGAGCATGAACAGTATTTGGCTGGCACCATGTATTTCAAAATGCTGAAGGCCAAGGCCATCAGATGGTACTCTTTCATACCTCCCCTCGCCGCCCTGCCCCTGAAGGCATTTATAGATGCCGCCTTCCTAAAATTGCGGCTAATCAGGTTTCTGTTCTTTTTAGACAATAATGCATTTTCTGACAGAAAATGTCCCCTTCCACTGGTGATTTTAGCTGATGAAGGATCTTCCTAGGTTCTTTCCTCATTGAGTGTGTTTCTTTTTCTTTTATGAGCCACTCTTGAGTTAATTTATGGCCCACTCCACACATCACCCAACTCTCATGAGTGGCATGTCAAGGAGGCAGCCTGGCTGCCATCTGCCTTATCTTGGATTAAATCTCCTTATCAACCAGGAGCAGATGGCAGTTATATTGTTGTACACGTAGCTACAGAGAGACTAGGTACTGCAGCTTAAATCTAAAAAGGACAACAAAAATAACAATAACAACAAACCCAACAACTACAAGTTTTGAACTTCAATAGTATAGAAAAATCAGGAAAACCTACACCCTTCCTTCCTCCCAAACTCCCAGGGACAGAGTCTGACCTTCAAATATATATTGGAATTTGTGCTGCTGAAGGCTGGCGCTCATGGCCTCTTCGATGGCGCTGATGTCTTTGTTGAGCTTGACCACCAGAGGGTCATAATCCATACTTTCGACATTAGCGACTATGGCATAGTTCCCCTCCTTTGCCAGAGGGATGAGATAGTGGAAACAGTGAACCCTGAGAAAGAGAGATGGGGAGAGAAGTTAGTAATACATCTTTCTGATGAAAACAATGATCTTCAGAGAGACCACCCAAATATGTAAAGAAGCAGTGGCTCTGTAAATTTTTACATACTCTTCTGCTTTTTCACCAGAAAATCATCTTATTCTATTGAACAACTCGTGATCTTGAGCAAGTTAGCTTTTGGGACCTTTGCTTGTTTAATCCATATATTGCAGGTTTGAATAAATAATAATAAATGAGCTCTAAAATTCCTTTCAAAGACAAGATTATATGCATAATATGGAAAACATTATGTCTTTTGACAGATATATTGTAGTGCAAATGAGAGACAGAGGCACAGATCTTAAAACAGTAGGCTTTGGAATGATATAACTTTGGTTTCAATTGCCAATACCAACATCTACTAGCTGTGTGACTTGAGGCAAGTTACTTCGTCTGTCCCAGTTTCCTTATCTGTGCAAGGGAGGAGAACACCACCCTGGTCATGAGGTGCTGTGAGGAGCTACTAAATATAAAATGTATAGCACAGGGCCTGGCGCAAAGGGAGTGCCCAGTAGGTGTTGGCTATGACCCCTATTATATTTGCTATTATTAATCTATTAGTAAAATCAAGCACTGAACATCTATGAATATGTTAAAAATTGTGCTAGCCCTGGGAATGTATATGATTTGTGCCCTTAAAGACTCCACAGCCTAATGGGGCTGACCAAGATAAAAAATAGGGATCAACAGCAGGCAATGTCTCACTCAGAAGCACATGTCGCAGGGTGCCACAGGCATTTGCCAAGGGGCGTCAGGGCAAGTTCACCACCGAAGGTGATATTTGAGTCACATGAGACTGTCTGAATGAGCCTGAGGAAGGAGGGCATTCCTATGTTGAAATGGCCTGAGTCAGTTTGACTATGCAGATTCTTAGGTTCTTTCTGGTAGGTATCAATAACTGCTAAAGAAATCTGAGATGGCTAAAGATTGGCTACTCCATAATCTTTGTGTTAAGCTGTAGTGGAAGCAAGTTTCAGCAAGTAATTTGATCACACATACAGGCACTTATTAAATAAAGAAAGAAACAAACAAAAAAAACCCCAAACATAACCAAACAAAACCCCACCACCCATCGGCAGGCACAGTTCAAATGGCCGTTCCGCAAGCTCAGTGAAGATTTCTACTGTTGTAGGTGCTCTGTCTGATGGTGCCATGGAAGTTCACTGGGGGCAGACATGACGACAATTCTGAGTCAAGATTCTGTCACCCTTACAGTCCTCATCTCAAAAGCTGCTAATCAACTAATGACCAATCAACAAAAACCCACACCAACTTTCACATGCTCATTGGCAAGGTGTATAGATTTAATCAAGATACTGGTGACAGCACTGGGTGCAGCCCCCTCTGGAATGCAACCTTTCTGATATGATGAAAGTTGACTGAGTGTGGAGTAGGACTCATGACTAAGGAAACTGATTGATACTGAGGTTGAAATTTACACCAAGTAGCTGTTAGCTGAAAATAAAATCAAGCCACCAATGCTAAATTACTTATACAGTAAATTACAGACATTATACCCCAAGACAATGGGAAGACCATGTACACAGGCATGGGGGTGTGAACGGGGGATAGTTTTATGGAATGACAAGGGGTTCCTTTTGGCACACATAGATCACATGACAGAGGCATAAGGTGAGCTTGGGGAAGAAGTGCAGGCGCCAGCTCATCACAGGCTCTGGAGGCCATTTAAGGACGCTGAACTTTGTTTGAGAAGTCAGAGGGAGCCGTAGGAGAAATTTAAGAGGTGGAATGATACAATCGGACATGCATTATGGCAAGATCACTCTGGCACCATATAAAGGGTGGACTGATGGTGGAGAATGGAAACTACTGGAAGTAAAGAGACTATTTAGCCATTGTTATTAATTGGAGGTGAGAGCTAATGAGATGCTGAAGTGAGTGGTAGAGAGGGGAGATAAATACTGTTTTAAGTACTGTGTTCCTCTCCAAAAATGATTAGAGATGAAAAAGAACATAGTCAATGGAAAATGTCAAATTCAAAAAAAAGTGTTTTTAAAATTCTTTTGAATTCTGGCATGTTGTTGCTGACCTTAACACAACTTTGGCATTAAGGTTTTCTGCAAATACTGCTGATTACACAGCAGGATGGTTGATTTTCATAAAGTGCATACTTAGGATCCCAACCGTGACGGGCAGTTGCTGTTGAATCCACTCCTGATGGAGAGCGAAATCAGCTGAAAAAGCTGACATTCTTGGCATCTTGGACTTAAATGGTGACTTACTTTTCTTCTTCTAAAGTTCAAATAGGAAAAAAGAACTCAACAATTTTTAATGGTCTCACCAGGTCTTTCAACTCTTGGGGGTATCATTTGCCTTATACTTCAAACTGTGGAAAGGGGTTGCTTGGTGGTTAAATGTGACCTACGGTGACACAGGTAAAAATGTCAAAGGCTCTTTGGATGGATGGACCCTTCAACATGGAACCTACTGGATTTGAGGACACTTTCTAGTTTGAACTTTAATAATGTTAAAAGAAAAATATGAGCTATGGATATAAGAATATTTTGGGAAATAAGACAAGAGCTGGGCATTTGAAGCTGTTCTGGACTTCTCCTAGCATTTCCCATTCACTGTTCTCCCATTAATTTTTTGGTCAATTCTGTCTGTGCTCTCTTATTATAATGGTTCCTTGGGTAAAAGTGCCAGAGACAGTGCCCAACAGCCACTTCTCCATCACCCCTGCTCCTGAACTGCAGGGCCTAAGTTCTACCTCTGTTTCATAACAGGATGGAACGAGAGAAACATGAGCGGCTTATGATGGCAAGGATGACTCTGGCTGTGTAGTCTCTGTACTCTGTAGATCCACGCAGTGGACTATGCGTGAGAACAAAATCTCCAAACCAATTCATTGTCTTTAAAGAGCAACAGGTTTTGTTTGGGGAAATAGTACTTTTTTTATCTGGGTTTGATTCCAAATCAGCTAACTCTTAAGAATCACTCAGGTTATACTGAACACCTATTAGGCAGCAGGACTGTTTCTGGGTTCTGGGGCCTTAACAGTGAACAAGGAACGCCGTTTTCTTGCCCCCCAGGAGCTAACAGACTCCTCCACGGTCACCTACTGTGAGTAGCCGCAGCACTTAGGGTCTCCTCTGTTTTAGCATTCTTATGCTATAGTATAATGATTTGCTGGAGATGTGTCCTAGTTATTTGGTATTATCAATTATACAAACCAAGAAAAGAAAAACGTTACTGTGACACAAGGAATGAATAAAATGTGTCAACATTTATTATCTGAGCTGTACAAGGAGCACTCTATATAGTTTTATGTACCATTAAGTGGGAAAAAGATAACATGGAGCATATTTATAAGAAAGCAATCTGAATTTTGAAGTCACGTTATACGAGAAAGCAAAAAAATTTAATTAAGAAAAAAACATGTTTACTGTTTTTCGTAAAAGTCAAGGGAAGAATTCTGCATCTAGGACTCTAAAACGCAGTCCTTTTTGTTATTCTTAAAATGGTATTTTTCTTTTTTTCAAGCAAATGTTGAAGCAGATGTAACAATGGGAGTTATAGCACTGAATGGTTTCTTGTAAAGTTAACAAATAATGACTGAAACATGTTCAGCACTATTAAGAATAGTATCGCCAAAATGTACAAAAATAAAAAGGGCAGAATAGAGGTTAAAGATTTGAAAGATCTTATTGAAACGTGTTGAAAATCTCCCACTTGGAATTAACTATGTTGCAAGTAGAGAATTCTAAATGTAGAACACATTGTATACCCACACGATCAATAGCATAAATTTCTGGAGTTGTGATAGTAATTGATTTGATGTTCCCTTGTTTTTCTGTGCAAGCCAGGTAACAAGAGGCATTGGAGTATTAATGGGTAGATTTTGTTCTCTCTGTATATTACATTTATCTATTCATAGAAAACATCTATTTCTGTGGTGGCTGGTAAATAAGTAGAAAAACAAATCTAAAAATTATCGTAAAATGAATCAGAAAAGATAGAGGAAGAACCTTTATTTCTGGACAGCTGAATAGAAGAAAGAAGATTAGAAATAACGCTGGGGAAAACAATCCAAATCTGCAATGGTGCTTCTCTTACTCCACTCACAAAGAGGTAGCTCCCTGGACAAGATAATGAAGAATGAACAGAAGTAAAAGGTGTACAGAAGAAGTGACATCAGCAATACATTATCAATTAGGCTTTGCCTGGGCATACCTGAAAGATGTCCAAGTTCTGACTGGAGTCCAGATTTACGAACAAAACCCTATTTACATGTTTAAGACCAAAATCTCGTTAAGACTCTAAACAAAAAGAAAATACTCTATCAACTTTAATAATGTCTCATGGTAATACAGAAGAAAATGTATTAATCTACACTTGCTGATCCTAAAGTTTCAAAAGTCTATATCCAACTGTCTATTTGACATTGCTACCTAGATGTCTATGAAGCATCTCAGATAGAACCTATTCAAAATGGAATTCTCGATTTCCACACCTGCCCCAACCTCTCTCCTTCCTTGGCCTTGCTCACATCTGTCCATGGCCCTGGCATTCACTAGTTGCTCTGGCTGGATTCTTTTCCTTGAGTCTTTTCTTTCTCTCACTATCATCAGCCCCTGCACCCAATCCTATCAGCTCTACCTTCAGAATATGCCTCATATGCAACACTTCCCATACCTCTATGACCTCTGTCACTCTTGTGCTCATCACTGTGGTCACTCTGCTTCCATTCAAATTTCTTCCTGCAATCCCTTCTTTATACAAAGCTAGAGTGATTTTTAAAAAATGTGAATGAATGAATGAATGAATCTCTCATGCACTTAAAACTCTCCTATCCCTTCTTAATGCACTTAGAATAAAATGCAAAATTCGCTTGGTCTGAAGGTCCCTGTATCAGGCTCAAGCCTCTCCTCTTTCCCTATCCTTCCACACCTCCCCAACCGCCTGTGCACAGGGCTATAGTCACACTGGACTCCTCTCTGTTCTTCAAAAATTGCCAAGCTTGATTTTGTCTGAGGACCTTGTGAGCATTGCTCCCTTTGTCCAAAACTCTTTTCCCCTAGGTCTTTGTACAGATGGCTCCTTCTTGTTACTGTGTCACATTTTCTCTGACTACTTTATCTAGAAAACAAAGAGCAAATCCCCCTTTCTAGTCAACTCAGCCCCTTGCTGCACTGTCCAGTATGACAGCACTAGACAGTTGTGGCTACCGAGCCCTTGAAACGTGAGTAGTCTAAATTTCAATGTTCTATAAGTGTAAAATATGTGGTAGATTTCAAAGACTTAGTACCAATAAATGCAGAATAGCTTATTAATAAGTTTTATGTTAATTACATATTTAAATAATATTTTGGATATATTGGGTTAGATAAAGTATATTATTAAACTTATGTGCTTCCCTCTACTTTTTCAAATGGGACTATTAGAAAATTTGAATTGCCTATTTGGTTCTCATGCGTAGCTCTCTATATTTCTATTGGACAGCACTGCTTGATTCCATTACGTTACTTTCATTTTTCAGTTGTACTTATCTGAAATTATCTTTTTTGTTTACTCATTGGCTATTTCCTCCCATTAGAACGCAGTTCCATAAGAGCAGGGACCGTGAGTGTTTTTTTAAATTACTGTATCCCAGTTCTTAGACCACTGCCTGGCACAGAGAAGGCACTCAATAAATGCTTAATGAATGAATGAACAATTTAAGACTTTCCAATCTTTTCTTCTACCATTTCCATTAGGCGTATGAAGAGAGATTACAAAACTAATCAGAATGTTCTACACTGCAGTGGGAGGAACAAGGGTCCAAGAAAATGGCATCTTTGAAGTTATTTTTTTTAATTATTATTTTATATCTTCAATAGGGTTTTAAGTTCCTGCAGGAAGGGATCATGGATCCTGCATCTACATTATTTCCTTCTTGATTAACAGAGCACCTTAGTAAAAATATCAATCACAATAAAGTCACCATAGTTGCGAAGTTACCACTTTTTGGGTATATCTACTCTGTGGCAGGCAGTGTACTAATTATTTATTACTTCATTTATAAAGTCTGTAGGTTGGGAATTATTGTCTCATTTTTCAAGATGAGGAAACAGGGTTAGCAAAGTTAATTAACTGACTTAAAATGGCCTCGCCACCCAGTAGAGGCAGAGACATTCAAATCCAGATCATTCTGATGTCAGAGGACATGCAAATTCTGAATCAAATTATTCAAAATACAGCATGTGCTTAAGAGCTTCAACAGTGACTGAGTAACACGAAAAATCACTTCCCTTGTAACAAAGGACATCAATAGTAAGAACCAGAAATTGGGGTGAGAAACTTCAGAAATACGCAAGTGATTTGTGACCCACAGTGCCTTTAATTCCAAACTCTTGCGCTTGACTGTGTCATACCTGACTTCCAGATGCAGGACCAGCAAGCAGCGGTCAGCCGTATCCTGGAAAGATCTGGCAAGTTCGCTCAGAGTCTGCATGATCTGCTCTGACACGGGGGGGAGATCCATGGTCACGTGGCTTTCTTGGGCAGGAGACAGCACTGAAAGAGAGGTGAGAACAAAACACCAATTTACTGGGGATTTTTTTTTGAAATGACATATTATTTTGCTGCTCATCATGTTGTTTTTAGCAATTTGGCTAATGCTAGTGTTGGCAGCAATAGACATCCAAGACATGATAGATTATTTCTGTACTTGATTACACAGACGCTCAGCTGATTGTCTTGAACTGAGTCATAGAATGAATAAAACTGAATCTTGGAGCTGGGAGTGACCTCAACAGTCATCTGGCCCAACCACACCGTCTGTGCTTGTGTCATTTGTAAATCTTCAAGTTAATGAAGTTCACCTTCTGGTTGTATTCCCTCACAGATGTTTGTGAAAGGAAATTTAATACGTTTTGAGCCAGCCTATTCCATCTCTGAAAGATGTGACCATTGTACATCAAACCCTGTCTGTCATCATGAACTTCCAATTATTGGCTCTGACTCTACTTACTTTGCAATCATTCTCATATGTGACAGGACTTCAAGTACTGAAAATCTCTCTTTTGGCTTCCTTGAAGTCTTCCCTTTTCCAGTAAATGCATGCAGATTTTTCTTTTTATTAAGGTATCACTGATACACAATCTTTTGAAGGTTTTACATGAGCAACACTGTGGTCACTACATTCACCCATATTATCAAGCCACCCCCCGCCCCCACCCCATTGCAGTCAGTGTCCACCAGCATAGTAAGATGCTACAGTCATTACTTGTCTTCTCGGTGCTATACTGCCTTCCCTGCGACCTCCCTACATTATGTGTGCTAATCATAATACCCCTTAATCCCCTTCTTCCTCCCTCCCTCCCCACCCCTTTTCCCTTTGCTGGTCCCTTCTTGGGGTCTGTGAGTCTGCTGCTGTTTTGTTCCTTCACTTTTTGCTTTGTTGTTATACTCCACAAATGAGGGAAATCATAGGTACTTGTCTTTTTCCTCCTGGCTTATTTTACTGGGCATAATACTCTCTAGCTCCATCCATATTGTTGCATATGGTAGGATTTGTTTTCTTCTATGGCTGAATAATATTCCATTGTGTATATGCACCACATCTTCTTTATCTATTCATCTCCTGATAGATACTTAGGTTGCTTCCATTTCTTGGCTATTGTAAATAGTGCTGCGATTAACATAGGTGTGCATATGTCTTTTTCAAACTGGGCTCCTGCATTCTTAGGGTGAATTCCTAGGAGTGGAATTCCTGGGTCAAATGGTATTTCTATTTTGAGTTTTTTGAGGAACCTCCATATTGCTTTTCACAATGGTTGAACTAATTTACATTCCCACCAGCAGTGTAGGAGGGTTCCCCTTTCTCTGCATTCTTGCCAGCATTTGTTGTTCCTTGTCTTTTGGATGTTGGCCATCCTAACTGGTGTGTGGTGATACCTCACTGTGGTTTTAATTTCCATTTCCCTGATAATTAGTGATATGGAGTATCTTTTCATGTGCCTGTTGGCCATCTGAATTTCTTCTTTGGAGGAGTGTGTGTTCAGATCCTCTGCCCATTTTTTAATTGGGATATTTGTTTTTTGGGTGTTTAGGCATGTGACTTTTTTATATATTTTGGATGTTAATCCCTTATCGGATATGTCATTTACAACTATATTCTCCCATACTGTAGGATGCCTTTTTGTTCTGTGGATGGTGTCCTTTGCTGTACAGAAGCTTTTTAGTTTGATGTAGTCCCATTTGTTCATTTTTGCTTTTGTTTCCCTTGCCCGAGGAGATGCGTTCTGGAAAAAGTTGCTCATGGTTATTATATTCAAGAGATTTTTGCCTTTGTTGTCTTCTAAGAGTTTTATGCCTTCATGAAATGTCTGCAGTTTTTCAACTATCCTTCAAATAACCAGATTGAATTATTTTACAATTCTCATTATTTGCCAACAAAAACATTCCAATTGTTCTATGTCTCCCCTGAAATGTGGGACTCAGAACCAAACATAAAAAATACTATAAAGTAGTCTGAGCTGTCTAGAGAGAATTATCCATTCCCTTGTTTTCTTGACACCATGCTCCTTGTATGTAATTCTAAAATCTTCTAGGAGTTGGGGAAAGTGGTAGTGTGCTGTATTCTACTTCAATTCATACAGAGTCTATAGTCAACTAATGGCCCAAGAAAGTCTTTATGGAAAATTTGATAACACTACCTTCTATATCTCTCTCAAGTAAATGGTAAAATATTTAACAGCATTTGGCCATTTTCTTCAGGAAAATACTGAACAGCAAGAGTATGAACTACATTTATTTATGTCTAGACTTCAATTGTATCTCCACTTCCCCATGATTTGGCAACACCAGTATAACTTGGCAGTTTCATTCAAAGATTAGTTTTGAGCCCTGTCTCCATTATTTACTTACTATGTAACCAAGAGCTAAAAAATTCTGTCTGCCTTAGTTTCTTCCTGAATTATAGAATAATTGCACCTACAGCATGGGGTTTTGGGGATCACTTAATGGATTATTGTAGGTAAAACACATAAAGCTCACTTAATATTAATATAAATAATCTTAACAATTCTTCTTCTTTAGCATGTGACTTGTCCAAGTTAAGAGTCTTAAGCTTAATTATCAACAAGGTACTTGAAAGATAATTCCACCCATCTTAAAGTTCAGTTTCCATTTGTCACTATTTTTGCTTTTCCAATGAAAAATTCCTCTCCCAGCAGAGGATGCACTGTCCTTTGAAAGAAGGGCTCGCTGGCCTTAGGGCACATGGGACTGGGTGAGGCACCACTGCCTAATCCAGGAGGAGTCCGTCTTATAGGCAGAGAGTCAACATCTGGCTGTAGCAGTGGCTACAGTTACAGGCTTTCAGTGCCACAACCATACCTGGACTCTGCCAAGCCCAGAGAAGGGCCCCAAAAGACAGTCCAGCCTTATAAGGCCATGTTTTCCTCTGTGGAAGCAGACTTTAATAAGTGAAAATATCATGGCAAACATAAATGAATTTTGTTCAAGGAAGCCAACATGTAAGGAGGCAAGGAACGCAGCGATGTAGATTTAAAATTACCACCAGCCTTGGCATCATCCAAGATGTTCATTAACTTGATTTGCAGAAGAAGATGATGTGATGTTGCATTTCTTTCTTATGTTAACATTATTCACATTGTTTGATCTCAAGTGGACAGCACCGCCTTCATACTGCTTTTATTTGGCAGGCTGGATGAAAGCAACTATCAGTAACGCTATTCTAATATTTCAAAGCATTTTAGGGCTTTTGAGTCCCTGAATTCATTGGCTGATTCAATCAGGGTCACTGGCTCTTCTGGGTGTTTTTTCACGTAATTCTATTACAGCAGTTACCATATTCCACTGATAATATCTGTGCATTGGTATGTCTCCGTACCAGATCATTAACTCCTTCAGGGCAGGTATTATACATATTTTATTAGTGTATATAATGCATATATATTTTTCCATTAATATATATTTTTTATATTAATGGATTATATTTCCATTCTCAGCTCAGGGCCTGCAGAATAACTGGAGGCATTATCAATAGATTATCAATCAATGCTTTTTAATTAAACAGAATGAATTATTTAATTGACCAATTCAACATGAAAAATAATTCACATAGTAAGATCGTTAAATATCAGGAAGAGAAGGAACCACTTGCTATTTACAAATGTAACTCCTTAACAAATACATTCGCCTTAGTTTCTTGAGGACATTCTTAGGCCAGGGTGGAGATAGGGACATAGTTCATTATAGCTGGTTTCCTGGGCTACCCAGGAATCTCACACAGGTACAGTTTACAGCAATGCTGGGCAATGCGCATAGCTCCAACACTTTCCCTCTGGACTGTGTGGCTTTTAGAAGTTACTTGCCTTTCACGAATCCACCTTCCTGCAGCCAAGATGTGGAGTCTCTCTTTTCTACTGACACAAAGTTCCTGGCATATCAAATACCCAGCATCTCTCAAGGAAACCAACATACTGTCATGGAGAAGCAATCAGCCTAGGGCATTAGGGTGTCTCAAGAGGTTCCACATCCTAGTATTAACCAGACTGAAATCTGCTTAGGTCTTAAAATTAGTCAAAATTGGACTCATTCAGACCCAGAAGAGCATCTGTTTTTCAAGGATGCAGCTGCTACACTTTCAATGGCAACTTACTGTGACTTCTTTAATTGACTCACATGAGGATGTCCTTGTGCATCTGCAATATTGTCTAAAATTGTTACAATATTAGCTTTGACTGGTATCAGCTGTCATGAAAGTGATATATTGAAAAGGAAAAGATGGTTATCACAGCAGGAAAATAAAGGTTAACTCTGTGAATTCAAACTTTTTAGAAGATGGTAAAAGACAATGAAGAACGATCCCATGAGATTTTCTCACTGGAAAACATTTATAATCAAATTTTAGTACACCATTATTTCTGACTCTTCTTCCTATTTGTACAGAGAAATGACAAACACCACCCAGTAGCACCTTCCTAACTCCTAGAGAAATGTGTTATTAGATTTTGTCAATAATTTTGAGATCCTTTGATGTTGTTACCTGGCTGACATTTTTAAAAAATATAAAAATAGGAATACTGATTAGTCCTGTGACATTATGACCTCATGGGGGCTCACAGAGTCCATGGGGACTGTGACAGTAGACCCTCCACCGAAACTCTCCTTAAATAAATGCCTGGGGGAACTGCTACTACAAGCCTCACACTAGGGTAGGATTCAGGTGTCATACACAGGAACAGCACAGTTCCACATTAGGACCTTAATGTCGGCTAGCTCTGTCCTCGGGCTTCATTTCTCTGTACCACTATCCTTACTTTGTAGTCATTCCATTAAATTAGATACAAATCTATAGAGCTAACCAGCCCGTACTTCAGTGCTTTGGACACAGTAGGCACTTTCTAAGTATTCATTAAATAAATTATTTATCTATTTATAAAGTCTACGGCTTCTGGAACAGATAGGTGATCCTCACAGGCTGAAATATCTGCCATCTCATTAGCATCTAATTTGAGTTTCTTAGGAGAGAGATGTCCTTTTCT